TTTCCATGTATTTAATTTTTTCCTTGTTCTTTCTGTTATTTATTTCTAGTTTTACAGCATTATGATCAGAGAAGATGGTTTTATTATTTTTATGTTTTTGAATTTATTGAGGCTTACTTTGTTGCCTAAAATACAGTCTATTCTGGAGAATGATCATGTGCATTGGGGGAGAATGTGTACTGTGCTGCTGTTGGGTAGTGTGTGCTGTGTATGTCTATGGGGTTGAGTTGGTTGTGTTGTTTAGATCTTCTGTATCTTTGTTGAGTTTCTTTCTGGTGGTTCTGTCCATCGTTGAAAGCGGTGTGTTAAAGTCTCCTATTATTATTGTAGAACTATATATTTCTTTTTTTAATTCTGTTATAGTTTGTTTTATATATTTTAGAGCTCTGTCATTGGGTGTGTAAATATTTATTGTGGTTAAGTCCTCTTGGTGGATTGACCCTTTAATCATTATATAATGCCCTTTTTTGTCTCTTATAATGATTTTGACTTAAAGTCTATTTCATCTGAGATTATTTTGCCACTCCTGCTGTCTTTTGGTTACTGTTTGTTTGATATATATTTTTTTCCATCCTTTGATTTTTAACCTATTTGTGTCTTTGTGTCTGAGGTGTGTCTCTTGTAGTCAACATATTGATGGATCTTTTTTTTTTTTTCAATCCATTCTGCCCATCTCTGTCTCTTGACTGGCGCATTTAAACCATTTGCATTCAGTGTGATTACCATTAGCAATAGGTGTGAATTTCCTGCTGCCATTTTGTTATGTTTCGTGTGTGTGTGTGTGGGTGTGTGTGTGTAGTGTTAATGGTTTCTTTGTTCCACTTAATTTTCTGTGCTGAGTTCTTTGTGTTTATCGATTTTCTTTTCATATCCTTTGTTGTTGTTGATTTTGTGTTTATTGAATCTTTTTTTATTTTTCTTTATTTTGGTGAATAAATTGATTTATTAATTTTCTTTGTGGTTACTCTGAAATTTACTTTTATCTTCACAGGTTTAAAATAGTGTCTCATGTCTTGATATCACCTTGACTTCATCTCCTTATGGAAATTCTATAGCTACACCGTTTATTCCCCCTTTTTGTTTTGAAGTTGTCATCATTTACAGATTGACATCTTTGGTTCCATGTTTTCAGTTTTGCATCTTTATTTTACTTTTCAGAATTTTTTATCTGGGTTGTTGTCTAGGTCATGGTGTTGTGTATCTTATTCTCAGGTTGTTGTCTGATGTCTTTGGTCCAAAGGACTCCCTTTAATATTTCTTGTAAGGTTGGTGTGGTTTTTACAAGTTCCCTTAATTTCTGTTTATCTGGGAATGTCCTAGTTTTGCCATTGTATTTGAAAGACAAGTTTGCTTTGATTTTTGGTTGGCATTTCTTTTCTTTCAGGGTTTTATATATGTCATCCAATTGCTTTCTTGTCTGCATGGTTTCTGTTGAGAGAGCAATGCTTAGTCTTATTGATGCCCTTTTGTAGGTGACATTTTGTTTTTCACAAGCTGCTCTCAGCATTCTTCCTTTGTCTTTGGTTTTGGAAAATTTGATTATGATATATCTTGGTGACTTTCTTTTGGGGCCTCTCCTTTACAGGGTTTGCTGAGTTTCTTGGATGGAAACCTTCTTGTCTTTCATGATATTAGGGAAATTTTCTGCCAGTAAATCTTCAAAAATTCTGTCTGTACTTTTTTTTTCTCCTCCTGTTCTGGAATTCCTATTACATGTAAATTATTCCTCTTGACAGTGTCCCACGTAACTCTTAGGTTTTCTTCATTCTTTTTTCTGATTGTTCCTCAAACAAATTAGTAGCAAGGGATTTTCCTCTATTCTGCTGATTCTTTCTTCCATTGATTCAGTTCTACTTCTCTGTCTCTCTGTTGAGGTATCTATTTCTGATATTTTATTGTAAATCTTCTGGATTTCTAGTTATTGTTTTTGTATGATCTCTAATTGTCTATTTATTTTATCATTTTGTTCTTGTATTGTTTTCCTGAATTCTTCTAGGGTTTTGTCTGTGTTTTCCTTGATATTTTTGAGGATTCTATATATAAGTCTTTTGAATTACTTATCAGGTAATTCTATTAGACCATTTCTTCCTCAGGAAGGTTTTCTGCCCCTTTATTTTGGTCATTTGTTTGAGCCATCTAATACTGTTTCTTCATATGATTTATTATTGTCTGCCGCCTTCCCTGAGGTGTTAAGGTGTTAATTTATTTATGTATTTCTTTATTGATTATATGGTTTTTTTGTTTGTTTGTTTGTTTTTTTGTTTTAATGTACCCAGAGCTTTGTTTTTTCTCTTTTGCTTTAGAATGGCCAGGCAACCAGCTGGTCAGGGTGAGCGTGCATGGGTCACTGGCCACCAGGTGGATGGCATGGGAACTCGCTCTGCTGGTCACTGGGCAGGGTCTCGCGCCTCCAATTGCCAGTCTGGTGGTGGGAACACATGCCGGGCAGGTGGGGTGGCTTGGGGGTGGTCAGAGCAGGTTCAGGGTTCCTGCACCTCAGGGAGGGGTGGTGGGCGTGGCCAGGCTTGAACTCATCTGCTAGGGCCTCTTTTGTCCCAGGGAGGGGGTGGTGGGTGTGGCTGGGCTTGCGTGTGTCTGGGCAGGACTCTTGTGCCTCAGGACAGGGGTGGTGAGCATGACCAGGCTTATGTGCCTTGGCTCAGTCCCCTGTGCCTCGGGGTCCGTGCTAAAGCAGATGGCAGGTGGGGTGACTTCTTGCACTGACCGGTTCTGGAGTGGGGGAGGGGGAGCTCTAGTTATTCTGTGGATTGACTTTTTGCTGGGTGGCTCCCGTTTAAATGGCTGGCAAGCAATCCCTGCAGTAATTCTCAGCTCCCTCCTTTCTTGCGCTTGCCAGAGGGGTGGAGCTCATACCTGCCCCTCTGTTCCTCCCCTCTATTCCTCCACAAATATGTATCTCCTGTCTACACTTTTCTCCTTTTCTAAGGCTCTAATGACTCAGTCTGTTTTATTTGCTCTAGAGGCACTTTTCTGTGGTTCCCTGCTTTCATAGCTTTCCCCCCTCATGAATTCCCCATCCCTGGCCACAGTTGCCCAACTTGTTGTTTCTTTCCATGGTTGTTTGTGCAGAATCTCTGCCACCAGCTGTGCTCTCTTTGTGGTTGCTTTCCTGGGTTCCTCACTCTGGGTCGTTGTTTGACGCCATCCCAAAATGGCCATGCTGCTCTGTGCTGGCACACAGGTTGCAGTTGATCCTCAAATCTCTGTTTTCCCACTGGACTCATTCTGCCTCTCCTTCCAATCAGTGCTCACTCTATTTCTTGAACTCTCTGATGTTCTGGGATCCTAGGTTGTTTTTTGTATATGTTTTACTTAGTTTCTTGAGTCTTTGTTGTCATGGGTTGTTAGGGTGCATGTATCTAAGGCACCATATTGACTGGAACTCCAGATGACTGATACTTGGTAGACTCTGCATACATACTGAAGCACAAGTCACATATTCATGCATCAGTTGCTTTCTTATATTATTCCTCATATGGCCGTGTTTCCTAAGACAGACTATTCTATCATGTAAGAAAAACTATATAAATTTGTTTAATATGTCATCTGCAAACATGTACGTATATAATTTGTAAGGATAATGTTGCTAGCATTGATACTTTTTGTAGAACATTATCTGACATTTTGTAAAACCTTAGCATTCTGAAGAACACTAGCTTAAAGCAAAAGCACAGAAGTATGGAAATATATAGTATAGAATAGTAGATGAATAGTAGTTCCATATGGTTAGAGAGTAGGGTGCATGGCAGAGGAGCAGGGAGTAGGCACAGAGAGGAAGGGGTAGGAGATGAGGCAGGAGAGCTAGGCAAGGATAAGATTTTGATGGTTCTTAAATGCTACGCTAAGGTGTTTTAACTCTATCCTACATGAACATGGGGAGTGTCATAAGATTTGTAGTCTTTAGAGTTAGTTCTGATTGCAATATGGAGGACAGATTGAGTGAAAGGAACTGTTGGCAAGGTGATTAGGGGCTACTTACTGCAGTAATAAAGGGGAGAAGTGATTAGGTCCTCAGCCAAGGTAGTGGCAGTGAGAATGGAAAGAAGAAAACAGATCTGAGAACTCTTTCAGAGAAAATTGCTAGAATTTAGTGATTGGATTTGGGGTGTGAAGGAGTGAGAGAATCCAAAAATGATTCTGCTTCTAGCTTGGTTGACTGGAGTGGATGCTGGCTAACTTGTCTGAGAGTTAAACTTGGGATCAGGTTTCAGCCAGGGGATGTAGAGAGAAACTGAATTTGAGGGATTTACAAAGTTGTCTAGGTACAGATGTTCAGAAAATAGTTAGAAATACGGAAGTGTGGCTCAGAACAGAAACCAGGTCTTGAAGTCCTGTCTGTATAGGTTGTAGCTGAAATTGTGAGTATATATGAGATTACCTGGGAAGAGAGAGTTATAAAAAGAGAAAAGAACTAAAAGATAGAATCCTGGGGTAGGACCAACATTTAAAAGGCAGGGCAGTTGGAAAACATAAAAGAGACTGAGATAGATGTGGAGGGATAGGTGAAAAACCACAAGAAAATAGTATTATGGCAACTGAGAAAGAAGAGTTTTTCAGGAAGAGTGGGTGACGGTTTTATACACTGCAGAAAAGTCAAACAGGACTGAGAAGTCAGTGACTTTGGCAATTAGTATGTACTTGGTGACTTTGGAGAGAATAGCGTAGAAAGGAAGGGGTAAAAACCAGATTGCACTGGAGTCTGAGGAGTGTGTGAGAGGGAAGGAAATTACAAATCATAGTAAAACTCCAGGTTTTCCTCAAATCCATGCATTGTTGTGAAATAAAGTATATTAGATCTGAATTACTTGGGTAATTGTCTCCACCTTTCTGCCCGGCTCGCCTGTGGAGATTTAATTTAATACAGTGTTCAAAGCCCTATTTCCTTTTGATTACCTATAAAGGTATCAGACTTGAAATCTGATGTGATGGGCTGAGTATATTAAAGAATACTAATCTTTTTCACCTTTGTTTTTTTCTAGGAAACAGTTTTCCCATCTCAAATCACTAATGAGCATGAGTCATTGATAATGGTGAAGAAACTTTTTGCTACTTCTATCTCATGTATAACATATCTAAGGGGCCTATTTCCAGAGAGCTCTTATGGAGAACGCCATTTAGATGGTAAACTTTAACTAAATGGTTACTTTGGCTGTTGTAGCCCTTTATTTGGCAGGAGTAAACCTTTCACTTCTCAGAGTGTGCTGATTCCAAGTCATGGGCCTGTTCTTCAAGACCAATTTGCTAATTCCTTTTCCATTTTAATTTCACTATCCCATGTTTTGTGGTTTCACCAATAGGAACCATTAGTTCCTGGCTAGATACCAAATGACAGGTTACGGAAAAAAGAAATATGTACAGACAAGCCCAGTAATCCTAAACAATACCTACAAAAGCAGCAGTGAAATCAAAATCTATTTGGATGCCGTAGATTTGCACTGTTTTGTGTTTCAATTGAATTTGTTTTTTGAGGCATACTTCAGCATTGAAGGAGCCCTGGTGGCACAGTGGTTAAGAGCTTGGCTGCTAACTGAAAGGCGGCAGTTCAAGCCCCCCAGCAGCTCCATGGGAGAAAGATGTGACAGTGCCCTTCCTTGAAGATTTACAGCCTTAGGAACCCTATGGGGCAGTTCTGCTCTGTCCTATAGGGACGCTATGAGTCAGAATTGACTCGATGGCAGTGGGTTTTGGTTTGGTTTGGCACTGAAGAGGTTCAGTGGAGCCAGGTTAAAAAAAAAAAAGACAAAAAACTCTTCTGGTTAACACATAAATATGCTGGGAAAAAAAAAGCATACTCACGCTAAACCCATTTGTTGATTAGCAGAGATATTTAGAAAATTATTATTCAAATGAGCTCTGTTCTCTCAACTGCCCAATGTTCTTCTACTTTTCTTCCCTTTGTTTCTTGTGCCCTTAAATTTATGATCTCCTCTCCTTATATTACACATTGTTTCTGACTCCTTTTCTTCTCTTGTATTCAAAGACAAATGCCTCTGGGACTCTGTTTCTATCTAATTACTTCAATTTTTCAAACTCTTACTATTTGCATGAAAAGCTGAATCGTGATAACAATTCAGAAAATCTTGTTGATTTGTCACTAAAATGGGAACTGTCATTTAGATAAGAGTTACAAGCTTCTTTGTATGATGTTATTTTTCGAAGTCTAACTTTAAATTTCTCACATCTGTATTTAATGATATACTTTGGCTTCATTCCAATTTAGTTTTCTTAAGAAACATTTGATTCTGTGCATTAACAGCAATAAAATGCATGTGTTCTATAAACATGTAAGCACAAGATTTGCAATCATGGCAGCCTCATTTGTATTATGACCTCTTTTGGTCTAATAAATCTGTAATAGTGAATGTGTTTATATGTAGGAAATAGTTGAGGGTTTTTCCTCTTGTTTGGAACATATAATTGGAGAAGGACATACTTTGGGTAATTAAGCACTTAAACTGTGTGCGAATCACTGCCCTAGGCATGGGGGTAGTACTAGTCCTTATAGCTTTATTTTTTTGTGTGACAATTATGGTGTAACTCTCCCTCTCAATGTTTGTACTTCAAGTCATATACATCATAAAAATGCTCAGTACTCCTATGTCACACTCTTTCTGGTAATCTCTAAATGTTATACCGACATGAAACAATTTTCATACCCCTCATTAGAGGTAGAGGTGACATTAATTTTAGGATAGGAAAATAATGTGAAAAGGTGAAATGACTCATTAAAGTCAAGCATGAATCAGTGATTGATTTTGGAATGATCTAAACCAAAACTCTTTTAATACGGTATTCCTGTTCTTCCCTAAGTATGGAAAGGTAGTTGAGTTTCAGATAGAAATAAAAATTTGAGGACAATCCACTGAAAAAATTTTCTTTCTCTTTTTGTTATTGAGAGGGAGAGAAATATTAAAGAAATGACTGAGGTTGAAGTGTATGTTTTAAATGGGTCATCAGAGGTGGTCTCAATACTACCTTAGTCTTGCTTCGAATTCAACAGAAGCAGAAAAGTGGCACAACTGATTTTGCAAACAACTCAGCTGTGCTACCTTGTAGAAGGAGGAGATTGCTAAAGCATAATCAAAATTGGAACTGAGCTACTTATTTACATAAAGTTTATTTTTAAAGTAGATATTTTGAGATTCAAAATGCTTGTAGAAGCTGCAGAACTAAATAAGTTATATAAATAAAAGTTAAAGAAAATACCCTTATTTAGCTTGGGCAATTTCAGCCCAGCAGTTATTAAGTAGATGAATGTAGACTGTGTTTCTATTTTTTGTAGACCTCAGTTTAAAAATCCTCCGAGAAGATAAAAAATGTCCTGGGTCACTGCATATTATTAAATGGTAAGTAATTGGAATTTCAGAAAAGTTGAATATTATTTTTATTATGGCTGAATTTACCCATAAGACTTTTATTTGGTAGACCATTTCCTTAAAACCATTTTTCTTTCCTTTTCTAATTTCCTAGAAATTTGTAACAATTATTTAATATTAAGATACTGATTTTGTTTTGAACTTGAAAGAAAATGGACTTGCATAAAGAAAGAAAACTGTCAATCAAAATTTGATTAATCATTGTGTGCATGTCACTGAGCCAAAACTTATGGGAGCCAAAAAGAAAAATAAGATGTGGTTCCCTACTTCAAAATTGCTTGACTATTATAAAGTTTTATTAACATATTAAAACATGCTGGGGATTTTAAATAAATTATTAAATGGGAAATATAAAATGGTTATCAATTTAATGTACTTCAAAGCAAAACACGTAAATGAATTCGGTACTTGGAATTTTTTTTTTTTGGCTTTGCAACTGCTCCAAATTGACATTAAACATTTATTTCTTGACAGGATTCAAGGTTGTTTTGATGCTTTGGAAAAGAAATACGTAAGAATTTTTAAAATTTACACCAGGATCAAAGACTCATCTCTTATCACTTAAAAAAAGTTTAGACTTTTATTTTGTTGTTGTGTTTAACAGTATACCAGTGCCTACATTTGCATTCATGAGCTGGTTTCCTTTTATTTTATGTTATTATTTGATTTTTTGTTGTCTGTTGATATCTCATTTACATCAATTAGAAGTGAAACCCTCCTTTTTCTCTTTTACATACTCATATCTTTTTGATCACAGAATTTCCTCTGAATTCACTGGAAGAAATCCACAGGATGTGGGACAGGGGAGGCAAGAATCTGGCATTTAGTACATTGAACATGTTCAAAATAGTGGTGATTCAATTTTCAGATATGAAAGGAAAAAATGGACTAGAATAAATTGGTTTTTGTGCCATCTTAGTTATTTTGATAACTATGTTTGATGCTTGTGTGTAACCTGTTTCCTCAAAATGGCTGGTATTGTAGCTTGATTTTTAAAAATTTTAAGTGCATCTGATCTTTCATGCTGCCCAAGACAGCTATAAAGGATGTAAAAATAAAGGTTGTAGTTCTAGTTGAAGAGACACAATGTATATAAATGAAATTTCTGCCACTGCTTTTTTTCCATTTCCCTATCTTCTTTTCACTCTTTCCCAATTCCTATTCTTTTAAGAAATCTTGCGTTGAATGAGCCTTACGATTGGATTATCTAATACATTCATGTTTCTTTTTTATTGAATAGTTATTACTTCTTATTTATTCAGCACTGACCTGGGGGCCTGAAGGATACAAAGATAAAACAGATATAGGATTGTGCACACAGAGAACTTATAAACCATAACGTTATAGTGAGAGATAAGAGATATTTATAGCAGGGCTGATGATCAGCTGTTAGACACTGGCCCAGCTGTACCTGTTGTTCAAATATTGAAATAGTTGTGTACTGGCTAGTAAATGACCACTTTTCTGAGACCCCAAGTGACCCTTTCTCCACCATCCTCCCCATGCCCCCCAGTGTCTTTTCTTCCCCGACCTCATCACAATCCAGCAACTAAAGGGCTAGATCAGCATCTTTTTGATCGGTCAGCCAGTACATGTGCCATATTGGGCTGTTAAATATTGATATTTCCTTATCAGTTTGATATTTTTATGTAAAAAATCAAGAGATATTTTGACTACCACCACATCCATAAATAACCATCATACTTGTTAGGAAGTGATGCATGCCAAAGGAAAGATATTGATCGGGTGCAATGGGAGGCATGGAAAAGAAGGAGTTATAACCAACTAGAGGTATGAGGAAAATCTTTGGGCAAAAATGACTTTTGAGGTTTGAAGGCCCTTAGTATTTGGACAGGTTGCAAGGGGGAGAAGACCACTTCAGGCATATAGAATAGTACCCATTTGTTCTTCTTCATCCACTCATTTAGCACCAACTCCTGAGTTTCCATCATTGAGGGGTAGACAGTACAGTGCTTAAGAGTCAGACAGTCTCCCCCTGGACACCGTTTTAGTTCAGTAGTGAAATTACTCCTGAGGTTCATCTTTTAGCCAAGGATTAGACAGGCCCATAGGACAAGGCAAGACTGAAGGGGTACAGCAGCCCAGGGGCAAGGACTAAAAGGCAAGAGGGGACAGGAAATCTGGTAATAGGGAACCCAGGGTCGAGAAGGGAGAGTATTGTTAACCAATGTCATAAAACGATAGTGTACTAACTGTTTAATGAGAAGCTAGTTTGTTCTGTGAACCTTCATCTAGAGTACAATTTAAAAAAAAGAAGAAGAAAAAGAGTCAGTCTGAGGTGATTCCTAGTCGGACACTTAATACCTCTGTGACTTTGCGCAAGTAACCTACCTCTCGGTACCTCAGTTTCTTTACATATAAAGTGGGTTGTTTGAGAAATAAGTAAGGTAATAATCTAAACCAGTGGTTCTCAAACATTAGTTTGTATCAGAATCACCTGAAGGATATTAAAACGCAGATTGCTGGGCCCCACCCCAGAATTTCTGATGCAACAGGTCTGGGGTGGTGCCTTAGAATTTGCGTTTTAAGCAAATTGCAGGTGCTGCTGATACTGCTGGTCCAGGAACCATACTTTGAGAACTACTGATCTAAAATGTTTAGAATAGTGCCTGGCACATAATAAGCAGTATGTTAAGTGTTAACGATTACTATTTTTTTATTCATTCATTCTTCATATGTTGACTATTTAATCTGTGCCATTGTGCCTAGGCACTAGACGAGATAAAAATGAGAGTAAGATGTTATTCCTCCTCTCAAGGAGGTCACAATCTAATAGACGGTCACTTTTTAAATAATTACAATATTACATGTGCTGAGATAGATAGCAGAGCCATGTAATATACAAAGAGTAGCTAGTTTGGTGGATTTATTTTATTTATAACTAGCAGTATGACTGAATCAGTCATATTAACTGTTTTGGAGGGATCTTAAAGACAAAACCTTAGAGGGACCACTTAGACACCTAAGTAAATAGTATTTATATTGTTTTTCTATACTGTTAATATTTTGTAACTTTTCTCAGGGTGCTACTAGGAAATGGTTAATATTTTAAAAGTAGTTTGAATAAAATCAAGTTTGAGTATCTAGATGTCTTGAAAGATGTTCCCCTGTTGAAGATGATGATTATTTCTAGTTGTGAAATTTTAGGTGATTTTGCATTCTTTTCTTTGAGTTTTACATTATTGGTTGAATTCTTTAAAATAAGTATGTGTATGATCTCAGGGAACATCTAGCTCAATTGGCACAACACAGTTTATAAAGACAATGTTCTACATTCTATCTTGGTGAGTAGCGTCTGGGGTCTTAAAAGCCTGTGAGCAGCCATCTGAGATATTCCACTGGTCTCACCCCTTCGGGAGCAAGGGAGAATGAAGAGAACAGGATACAAGGAAA